GGCCTCTTGCAGGAAAGAAAAATGACAGAAGAGACAAGGACCCTCTAGGGAGCCCTGGATTCATCAGACTTCCTGGAAGCCCCTCTCCTCACCTGATCCCGGCTCCTGGGAGAACCAGGATGCTCTAGCTGAGCGGATCGGCGCCTGTGGAAATGCTGTGCGGTCACTGCCCTGCAGGTTCGTAAATTTGGGCAGGTGACTCTACCTTGCCCCTTTCCTTACTAGTAAACTGGACATAAACGTTGCTTCTAGGATCATCAGAGGGTGACATGAGGTAAGGTTTGCAACACTCCTCACATAGAGTCCTTTCCTGACATCTGATTCCTTCTCTCCATCTGGAAGCTTCCAGTGTAACACTCACCTGAAGTCATTGCTGAAGTACGATGTATCTCTATTCTGACAATTAAATGCAATGGGCGTTATTTCTAGGGCACCCACTATTTTGGGCAATGTGAGGCAGATACACTAAGTGTAAGATGTGACTCCCTACCTCTGAGAAAGTACAGTTTATTAGCTGAAGACACGTAAACACAGACTCTTTAAATAATGAAACTAATTTAGCTAAATTCAGATGAATTAGCATTTAGAGGGAGAGCTTGCTGTGGCTGGAGGGCTTCCTGGAGGAAGTGTGGGCTTTGTGATAGCCTCTGAAATGCTGGTAGGGCAGCCTTTGCTGTGTGTTGTCCAGGAACAATGGCACGGGAAAAGAGCCCGGGGTCACCGGCTGCATGGAGAGAGAGAGAGGTCGAGGGAGGTAAGGAGGGCCAGGTGGTAGACTGGAGGTGCCATCCTTCCAGCAGGAGACTAAGCCACCAGAGTCTGAGGACGGATTCCAGAGTGAGAGTCACATGATGAAAAAGGAACGGTGTAAAGGAGGGGGAGGCTGGACGGGAGAAGAGTGTGTGACGGAGATGAACCAAAATTGGGCCCAATGTCTGAACCTGGGTTCCTGGAGTAATGAGAACATTCTAGAGCTGGAAGTGGCTTAGATGATTTATTCTTGTGCAGCCATTTGAACCCAACTCAAGGCCACACGGCCAGTTAGGGGCAGAGTCAGGAGGTGAACTCACAGTAAAGGGGGAGAAGTTTAGGAGACAATGAATTTTGCCCCTGGAGTGATCAGGTTTGTGTCACCACTAAGGCTGACAAATACAGGAGCTGCTGAAATTGTGGGCCTGGGGTCCAGGTGGGTGTCAGCTGGGCATTGTCATCATAGGATAGAGGACAGAGTTGGAAACCCAGGGGGCAGAGTGCAACAGAAAAGGCCAGAAGGCCAAAGACTGAACGTTGAGGCCTGAGTACAGGATCGAGGAAAAGGGACCATCAGAGAGGAGGGATGTGGCCTGCATGTGGCCACAGTGACCAAGGACATGATGATCAGGTGTCATTCTTTCTGTGGTTACTGCTTTCCATGGTTACAGATGCTTGACCCTGATCGCTCCAGCCCCTCTGAAGCATATTACAGATGGCTGCAAATTCTTTGCCCCCTTCCCCACTGAGATGTGGGGGTCCTCGTTTCCTCTCCTTAATCTGAGCAGGCTGTGACTGATAAGCCCGTAGCACCGAAGCGAAGTGACGTTGGGCCAGTGTGGGGGCCCAGGCCTCGAGAGGCTGGTAGTCCCCAGGTCCTGACTCTGGACAGTGTCTCAGACACTGTGTCTTGAAGAAGCCCTAAAAGCCCTAAGAGTGGCCCAAGTGCTGAGGAATAAAGCTCCCAGCCACTTGCCAGCGTGTGATAGAACCACCTGGAGAGAGCATTTTAGTTGTACTGTCCTGGGGGGGGGAGGGGTGCATGAAGCAGAGATAAGCAGTCTCTGCTGAGCACTATTCAAACTACAGATTTGGGAGCAAAATAAACGTTAACTAAAATTTGGGGTGGCTCATTAAGCAGCCATATCTGGTCCTCTTGGTGCCTTCACACCAACATGCCCAGTCACTTCCCCAAGTGCATGGCCAGAGGTGGGCAGCACTCAGAGCTGCCCTCTCCCACCAGCTGGGGTGGCTGGTCATCTGCACTGGGCTTGGAGCTCAACCGCAGCCAGTGACTAGGGTGGCTCTGGCCTCTGTGGGGTCAGGTGTTAGAGGAGTGTTCACATGGGTGGGGGGTGGGGTTGTGTTGCCTCAACAGGAACAGGACAAGACCCGGCCTCTGTGTTACCCACTGGTGGTAGCTTCTGTTCCTTCTACTGTGAGAACTTGAAAACAAATGGTGGTAAGGCTCCAAGAATATCATTTGTATTTTAAGACAAAATTGACTGCTTCACACCATGTGTGGCATCAAATGACTTGGGAAGAGGTACAGGCTGAAGTGCAGCTCCATGTGCCAGGAACACACAGGGCTGACAGCTCGGCTGAGCCCAGGCTGAAACTGTCATAGTAACACACAGGATGTCGGGGGCTCTCCCAAACCAGCAGACGAGTAGCCGAAACATTTAGACAACCTGATACTAATTTTTTTGTACATTTATTTAAAAACGCATAGGAAATGAATAAAATAGTACCTGAAAGTATCTACAATGAATAAATTATTTCAAGATCAACATTGCAGACCCACGCAAACCAGTCCTTAGCCTTCACCTGGATTACGTCGGGTGGACTTGCGCTTGTCCCTCTTGACTCCTCCTTGAGAGCTTTCCCTCCCTGCCGGGGCTGCAGCCCTGGAGATCAGCCCTGCATCACCGGCCATCCTCAGGGGCACAGTGGATGGGTACTGTGCCAGCACACAGTAGGCACTGACAAAGGGCGCTGGGTTGGTTTCTGGGGACCCTGAAATATCTTACCCAAGTGGGGCTGGGGTTTTAAAGCAAAGAGCCAGGGTTACTCGTGGGGCCCTTCACTGAGGCACAGGTTCAGAAAGCACTGAATTCACTTGTGGTCTTGGGGAGCCAACAAGTTGGCCAGGAGCCTTGAGCCCTCAGTCAAAAGAGAATGGCCCCATGGAGCCCTTGCAAGTAGTGTGGGTGCTAGGTAGCTGCCCAAAGATGACCAGGCACACCGTGGGTGGACCATGGGCACCTGAGAAGCATTCGAACGAGGCCAGGAGCAAGAGAATGTAGGCCCAGGGCCCAACATGGCAATTTCAAATAAGGTTCCTCAGCAGAGGGAAGGAAGCCACGGTCCTCCTCTGGCCTTTGAGGAAGGGGCTTTGTCAGTGCCTCAGGTCAAGAGGCTGAAGGCAGGAGTCAACCTTTCAGAAGAGAAAGGTGCCATAGGCCAAGGGCAGAATTAAAAAAAAATCCTCTCCCTTCTGGTAATCATTCTAGGGACCTTGGAGTACACATCATTGGGAGGTTGTAAAAGTCCTTTTCACTGAGGCCATGTGAAGAAGTTGAGGTGGTGCGTTTCCAAGGTGGAGCTGCTGTGAACAAGGAACTGCATTTTTTTCTTTTCTATTTTTAGTAGTGACAGGGTCTTGTTCTTGCTCAGGCTGGTCTTGAATTCCTGAGCTCAAGCAATCCACTCACCTAAGCCTCTCAGAGTGCTAGGATTATAGGCATGAGCCACTGTGCCCAGCCTGCATTTATTTTAAAAGGGAGATTTTGTTCAGTATTTGCCAATACTGAACTTTGGACTGTACGGACAGAGATAAGCTGTAGCACAGTCTCTCTCCTGGCAGATTAGAGCGTGGGGCGGGGGGGCGTTGCTACAAAGGTAAATACCCGTAACGCTGGTTGGTCATTAATACAAATGAGGAAAAGTGGGCTGTATGGAAACACTTTCTCAAACATACTCCAGGCTCAGGGTCTGTCTTCTCGCTGGAAAGGAGACATGAGTTCTAACCTTCCTTTCCTTTTTAGTACAAAAAAAGCAACCCTGCCGGAGCAGGTAGCAGCAAATCCTGCAGAGGTGACAGGAAGCCGGGGGACTGGAGCCATGGGGATTGTAGACTGAGGAAGTGGCCGCCCCATCAAAAGGCCAAGCTGCTGCTCAAATCAGGACAGTTGTGATTGGGTGACATTGTGAGCCCAGCATGGCCAGATCCTCTCATTTGGAATTTTTGGTAAACTTTTTATGATTTTACATGTTAGTAACTAATTCTTAAAAAAGACCCTGCAGGCTAAACAAAACACTGCTGTGGGCTGGATCATCTTGTAGCCTCTCCTGGGGGGACCAGTGGCAGGAAGATGTGGTAGACCAAATAAAGATGGCATCCTAAAGATGTCCAAGTCCCCAACCTGTGGACATGTCTCACATGGTAAAAGGGACTTTTTCAGTGTGATAGTTAAGGATCTTGAGATGGGGAGATTATCCTCAATTTTCCTGGTGAGTTGTATTGGTTTATTAAATTTTTGTAGATATGGGGATCTTGCTATGTTGCCCAGGCTGGTCTTGAACTCCCAACCTCAAGTGATCCTCCTGTCTCAGCCTCCCAAAGTGCTGGGATTACAGGTGTGAGTCACTGTGCCTGGCCCTCCTGGTGGGCTTTATAAGTAAAAGAGAACAGGAGAGTCCGTGTAACAGTGACGCCATGTGAGAAAGACCTGACCAGTAGCTGGAGCCAAGGAGTATGGGCACCCTCTATGGGTTGGAAAAGACAAGGAAAGAGATTCCTCTGGAGAATTCAACAGGAACACAGCTCTGCTGACACCCTGATTTTAGCTCAGTGAAACCCATTTTGAAATTCTGATCTCCAGAACCATAAGGTAATAAACTTGTGTTGTTTCTAAGCGACCACATAATGGGTTGTACTGGCAACAGAAAACTAACACAGGAGGCCACTCTCTGATCTATATTTAAAATTTTTAAAGGATATAAATCTTCTCTAAATTTTTGTTTAAATGTCAAACTCCTGCTGCCCCAGGAGAAGAACACATGGTAGAAATTCCCCTCACTTCCAGGACTAAAGGACAATAGGATTTGAGATGAATTTCCGCAGTGGTCTAACCACATGCAGAAATAGAGAATCGGAAATCTCCCATGAAAGCAGGTATGTATCAATGCTGTCTGAGCACACACACCCTTTTCTGGCTGGAGAGATGGCAAATTATTCCCATCTCTCAGGTGACAGGCATACGTTTATCTAGTGGTGGGTAGAAGTTAAATCTAGGCATCTGAACCAGTTAGCAGGAGTTGTTACTGATGTCAGGTGAAAAGAGCTACACGTTTACACAATGACCTCTTAAACACATACACAGGACCACCTAACAAAAAATAACAGTAAAAAGGCACAGGGTCATTTTCACTCAGAGACCCAAGAAGAACAGGGACCTAGGGCAGCTCCTAGGAGTTGGAATTGTTGCCCTCGAAGAGGGCAAACCTCCGTTTATCACTCTGAATCCAGGGCTTGCTGTCACTCTGTGCTGGGTGACACAGGTCTCCTCTCATTAAACCTGAGTTTAGAAAGATGTGAACTGTGGTGACTGTCTCCAGATCAGAAGTCACTATTTTCAATGTCTTATCACTGGAATGAGCCCACTGAGAAACTGGCGATGGTGATGTCCTAGAAAACCTGCTGCTCCTTCCATGACTCCTCTTTGCGGGTTTCTGGTTAGAACACTGAAGTGTGTCTCAGTGCCCTGCCCTACATGTGTCAGTAAAGTCTTTGCAATAGGTCCAAGTTACTCGGTTGGCTTCTCTGGCTCCTGAGTGTCCAGTAAGGGCACTTCTGTGTTCCTATTGCTTACATCCCCATTTCTTGGGTGAGAGAAGGTGTACGGTTCGCTCTCAGACTCAGGAGTGAGGCAAGGGGGTGGCTCATCTGTGGTCAGCTTTACAGTTGGGGCCCTGGAGCATGTGGGGGGTGGGGAGGGAGGGCAGTCCCCCATGGTGCCCTGGAAGGGCCGATAGGTGTCCACTTCTGGCTGGAGGAAGGACCCTCCAGAGTCCTGTAGCAGATGCCCATACACCATGGTGTCATCGATGACTGCGTACACATGAGGGTCACTGTCCTTTCGTTCTTTCAACTTTTTTAGTTGCCTGGGCATCTGGGTATTGATGTTGCCATTGTAGATACCCACAGCAGGGCCCTTGTCTGTCTTCTTTTTCCTGTTTGGAGAAAGAGAGCAATACAGAAGTGAGGAAAGAAGTGATCTTAGATGCACACCATTTTTATAGCCCTGCTAAAGCTTGAATTCTTTAGGGTTCTTACACATCCCCACTAAATCCCTCCAATTGCTTAGCAAAAACTGAAACTACCATTCTCACTGAACATATACAAGGGACCAGCTTTGGCCTCAAGATAGAAATGGAGAGACCACAGGTGATAGAGAGTGGTTTAGAGAGGGCACCTTTAACAGTATCTGAGCTCAATTTGTCTTTGATATATAGGTGGAATCAGATGGTGAAGACATCTGACGATCCCTGTGCCCTCTCTTCTGCTAGAAGCTGCATGGTGCCCCAGCCTTTCTAAACCACAGCAGGCTCAGGCATGGCCAGGCCAACCTTCCAGGACTCTCAGTACTTTCCTGCAACTAATGCTTCACCTCTCTCTTTTGCACATATAAAAGCTCTGACCATCTGGATTCCAAACGATAACATATGAGACTCAGGAGAGGAGCTTGGACTTTAGTTTTCAGCTTGAGTTGGAGGGAGATGAACTCAGCATTAGCAGAGAGACCCAGTGCCTCAGCAGAAACCTTGAACAGAGGAAAGTGCTAAAAAGTTCAGCTATAGTGCCAGAGTTCCCAACAAGACCATTAGCGTTTGGTTTGTAATGTTCTCTAGTACTTGGACATGGACAGATATTAGCATTCTCTGCCACAGGAAACAAAGCTTGGCCTCCATGTCCATGAGCCAGACAGCAGGGAATGCCAACTTTTTAGCTGACCAGCGATGCAAATGGAGGACATTAGCTCAATTAGCATAATGGACCACATAATGTACAGGCAGGCAGTCCACTAACTGTGGACACGCTCTCTGTACTTTTCTGAGATAAAAATAAATCGAGTCCTTTAGCTTGTAACACTGAGTCGCTGGCCAGGATGATAGGTTCCCAAGGCCCCTTCAATGCTTGTCCCCTTCTCATGCTGTGCTGAAACTGCCTATCTTTTTGAACTCTCTCTTTTGTTCCTATACCCACCAAAGGGGGTAGAAGAGACTGTGCCTTGCTCACTGTGTCCCTAGCACCTTGCATGGGTCCCAGTGCCCAGGAGACCTCAGGAAACACCTGCTTAGCAAACAAGTCCCATGGCCTCTCCTCATTCTCACTGCAAAGCCTGGCCATCCTCCTGCACCAGCTTGGGGACAGCCAGTGGCCTTGCAAGGCCCTCAGCGAGGCCAGGGCTGGTGGTTCTCAGGCCAGAACTGGAGCAGTTTAAAAATGAGGTGGGTGTCAGATCTTTCCCCTCCTGATGAGGAAGCGAGGGCCCAATGTCTTCCCAACCGGGAGGGCGGTAGTCTGTGCATCTTGGACAAGAAGGTTCCCTGAGACCAGGAGCAACATGATGTTTTACTGAAAGAAGTTTCCCCCAGGTGGTGTATGGATAGCCATGTCTCACAGAGAAAAGACCTATCCCTGGACCTGCTACAAGCAAGTCCTTTGTCAGCACTGGAGATACTTTTAGCCAGTCTCATTGCAGATCAAGAATTTCAGTTGTTTGGGCAGGGCATGGTGGCTCATGCCTATAAGCCTAGCATTCTGGGAGGCCAAGGTCGGTAGATTTCTTGGAGCTCAGGAGTTTGAGACCACTCATTTCTACTAAAAATAGAAAAACTAGTTGGCATTAGTTTTCTTTAGCTGGCACAAAACTAACTGTGGCAGGTACCTGTGGTCTCAGCTACTTGGGAAGCTGAGACAAGAGGATCACTTGAGCCCAGGAGTTTGAAGTTGCTGTGAGCTGTGACCCACAGCACTCTACCCAGGGCACAGAGTGAGACTCTGTCTCAAAAAAAAAAAAAAAGAATTTCAGTTGTTTGCTCAGAGCCAATGCGTTGGAAGGTCAAACTCATCTAAGGAAAATAGATACCCCCCACTATGGCATTAATCAGAAATATGAGCAGAATTTATAAGATTTGGTGGCAGCATGGATTCTTTCTAAAAAGGCCAGCATTTTCCTTTTATAAAACAGAAGCTGTCGTCTTGAAGGAGTGGAAGGTGAGAATGAGACTGTTAACTGGGTCTTCCTCTCATCCACAAGGCTGGCCTTGGGTGCTTATCTGGAGTCTAATAAACAAGCACAAAGCATTTTGTTTAGGAAACTGCAGGGGTACAGCCAGGGCAATGTGCATTCATTCTCCCTAAGGTGACAGAGGGTGTGGCTTCAGAGGCACGCTCTGGCAGAGCCTATGGGAACATTTTCTTGCCAAGATCACTCCTGCCACGATCAATCTGATAAGCAGACAGTAGCAATTCACAGGGGACTTGTGCAGAGGCAGCTGCACGACAGGCTGCAGGGGAAAGTGTCCCAAATGTTTTTCACCCCATCCCTCCCCCCAGTCCAAGCAAACTAGTATCTGGCAGTATTATTTAACATTGACCTTTGGGGGGGAAATGGGAGGAAGAAAACAATGTCAATAATTGACAATATATCTGGGCTGTATGGTCTGAGGAGGAATCCAATCAGCCAAAGACAGTGTAAGAGATTCCACCTACTTCTTTTTCACACAGCAAATGATGAGTCCGAGGACAAACAGCAGTAAGGTTCCAGCTCCCACCACTGCGATGACAACAACAGTCAGGTCTGTGAGCGGAGACACAAGGAGACAGGAGTTAGTCCAACGATGAAGTTAAGTAATCTGCAAGGACGGCCACCATCAATGCCTACCCCCTGCTGTGGCTCCTCACATCATGACGTCTCTATTTCCCTTCCTCCTGAATCTGTGCTGGCCAGTAGTAGGTGGCTGTGCCAGGTCTGGGCCTACTCTTTAAGAAGATGGCAGCTTGCTCTTTCTCTCTGCGGGAAAGCCAGCCTCTGTGTAAGAAGCCTGACTGTGTCGAGACCACCATGCTGTGAGGAAGCCCAAGTTAGTCAGGTGGAGACTCCATGGGGAAAAAACCCAACACAGCCCAAAGTGAGAACCAAGTTTGCTTGATGTACAGAAACAAACTGAGGGGACCCACCAGATCTACCCCAAAAGCTGTTCCTGGCCTATACTCCACCCATCTCCACAGCCTATCTTGGAGAAGGAAAGAGCAGAGGGGTGTAGGAGAAAGCAGGGGATCAAAAGTGAAGGGAAAGAGTGAAGGAGAGGGCTGTTCCACCCGTGCTGTCCTTTCCCTACAGTTGCACAAAGGAGAAAGAAAATAAATTAGAGAGGGGAACGTGCACCAAACAGGGATTTAGAATTTTTTTCTTGTTTACCAAGAAAACAAAGAATGAGATCTAAAGAAAACAGGAATGGAAATAAACATCAGAAAGTGAATGTAAGAGAGGAAGTAATCCAGGAGGTAACCTGAGAGTGTGGAGAGCTTTTCACTTGGGGCTTTTGGCTCCTACCAACTATCTTGCTGCTAAGCCATTGTGTGGCCTTTAGGGGAAATTCAATCAGTAACTGCAAGAAAGGGAAAGGGAAGGAGACAGCGTGAGGGTCCCAGCTGGCTCTGATATTCTGTGATACCACCGCTGAATACTACACACGGGCAGACGTGGCTCTGCCAGAGTGACCTGCACACACGCAGGTCCTTGCTGGAGTATCTTCCATGGATCCTGCAACTTTAAGAAATGAAGACACACTCCTTACCTGGGCTCTGAGGCCTGCCACTAAGGGCATTTCAGAATGACAACATTTTGTTGTGACTAAATAAAAAAATATTAGCCCCATGTGCCTCTGTTATAATTTCCAGGTTCCCACATTTTAATCCTCAACATTGAACCCCATGAGGTAGTTATTATTATCTACTCTCTACAAACGAAGAAAAGCCTAAGAGTGGAGAGGCTTCCTTTAGGGAAGAAGGAGATTAATGGTAAAGGATGATAGTAGACTGATTTTTTTTTTTTTTTTTTTTTTGCAGTTTTTGGCCAGGGCTGGGTTTGAACCTGCCACCTCCAGCATATGGGGCCAATGCCCTACTCCTTTGAGCCACAGGCACCACCCCGACAGTAGATTGATTAAAAAGTCTAGACTGGCCCGCAGGATGCAGTGGAAGGGACAGTGTGTGAGTTCCTAACCTATGTGTGCTTTCTCTAATCTTTTGTGGATCTCTCTGCCTCTTCCATGAATACAGGCCCAGGCTGGAAGATTAGAGGCCATGTAAAGGACAGCCAAGTAAGTCCAGTTGTGTCCCCAGACATGTGAGAGGCACCCAGCCAAGATCAGCAAAGTCCTCTAGCTAACCTGCAAGAGCATGAGTGAGCCAGCCCTGACAAGCCCAGCTCAGACCAGAATTTTCCAGCCAACAGATGGCTGCTTTTACGCCACTTTGTTCTAGGGGTGCTTTGTTATGGAGCATTATCCATGCAATAGCTGACTGATACACAAACAGCCAGGACTCAATCTGTGTCTCCTGACTTGCCTCCCCGACTTGCTCCTATCCCTCTGTTGATAACTTTCTATTTATGACTAAGGTTCTTACCCACAGTCCTTGGAGTAAGCGTCACCCAGAAGAGCAGGTCAAGCTGCTTGCCACTTGCGGGGCTACAGTTAGAGATGTTAACCCAGAAGCTGTGATGGTGGAAGCTTGGCTTGGGGAGCACCTCCTCCTCCAGGCTGAAGATCTCCTCTGCCCGGGTGTGCTGCTCCTGGATGATCATGAAGGCACGCCCCGTCTGGCAGACTACGCCAGTCCGCTCCTTAGAGAAGGTCAGGCAGGCCACCTGGTCTCTAGGCACGCTGATGTTCCAGGACACTGAGGTGAGGGATGGCAGGCCCCGGTCCCAGTTAGGGCTCTTTAGGTACACCTTGCTTTTTGTGTCTGGGGTCACTGTGAAAATTCCTTCCTCTGTAGGAAACAGGAAGGGGATCCAGAGAGACACTGTTTCACTCAATCACATGGACTGGACCATAGTCACCACTGTCTGGACCAGTGCCGTCCAACAGACTTTCTATATCTGCACTGTCCAATGGGGTAGCCCCTGGCCACAAGTCTGTTGAGCGCTTGAAATGTGTCCAGTATAACTGAGGACCTGCGTTTCAAATTGGTTTCATATTAATTGAAATTTAAAGAGCCACAAATGACTAGTGCCTACTTTATTGTCAGTGCAGGGTAGTCTCAGGTAGAAGAGGTGCTCAGGTCCTTATTAAAAAAAAAAAAAAAGAAAAGAAACCAGAACAAACAAGCAAACAAAACCCAAGCCAGTTTGCCAAACTATCCCCCTTTCAGAAATGCTCTCAGGCCGGGCGTAGTGGCTCATGCCTGTAAGCACTTGGGAGGCCGATGCAGGAAGATCCCTTGAGCTCAGAAGTTGAGACCAGCCTGAGCATGAGCAAGAGTGAGACCCCCTCTCTACTAAAAATAGAAAAATTAACTGAGCGTTGTGGGAGGTGCCTGTAGTCCCAGCTACTTGGGAGGCTCAGGCAGGAGGATCACTTGAACCCAGGAGTTTAAGATTGCTGTGAGTCAGGCTGACACCACAGCACTCTAGCCTGGGTAAGAGTGAGACTATGTCTTCCCTTCACCCCCAAAAGAAATGCTCTCGACATCGCTAACATTCATCTACTGCCCTGCTCCACCGTGGGAATAGTATACTTGTATAGCAATTTCTGTTGTGGAGATTTAAAAAAACTGCAGATTCTGAGAAAAAAATGCTAGAATTACAAAGCTGAGAGAACTCCTGCCACGTCAACTAATCCATTCCTTAACTTCAGGAGAGAGACAACCCTAATACTCCACCCTGATGAGAATATGTCTCATTTACAAAGACTCGGCTCTGGTAACCTTGGAGATAGCAGGCAGCCTGGCCTGACCTTAATCTTACAGCCCAAGATTCTTCTCCCTCCCACTCATACCTCTGAGAACAAAGGTACGAAGTAAACATCAGACAAAGGCCTTGGTCAATTTTAAAATGAAATCTCCTTTAATGTAATTGTTCTCTGAGCAACTTGTAATGGTAGCTGTGACTTTTAAAATCAACCATGGACAGTCCACTACTGAGCCACGCAGAATTCATTTGGTGCCTCAGAACACTGAGACACACAGTGCCCTTCTAGAAGGACCCGCTCCACCAGCCTGTGGGCTCCAGAGAGCCTTCTCCCTCCCCATGCTCCTCTCTCTGTGCTCTCTGCACTGCTGCTTTCTGAATTGTAAATGCAGAAACATAAAAATGTCTGCCTGAGGATTTTTATGTTACCACCTTAAAAATCCAGGACTGGGGAATAGTTGGTCATTTCTCATTTATGCCCCGTCTGCTTCCAAAAAGACTCAAAACTGCTTATTTGTTCTGCTGCCTGCCTACCTACCACCTCCTCCCACTGTTAGAAACATTTTTCTTATTTCTAACCTCTGGAATTTTCCACACTAGGTTGATGATAAAGTCAGGATTAGGACTCACCATCTTTCAAATGAATTCCTTCTTTCTCTTCTTCTCTCCTTTTTTCCTTCCTCCCTCCTTCCCTTCCACTGAGTCTCACTCTGTTGCCCTGGGCAGAGTGCCGAGACATCGAGGCCCACAGCAACCTCAAACTCTCTTGGGCTTGAGCAATCTTTGCTTCAGCGTTCCGAGTAGCTGGGATTACAGATGCCCACCACTACGCTTAGCTAGTTTTTCTATTCTTTTAGTAGAGACAGGGTCTCGCTTTTGAACTCCTGAGCTCAAGCCATTCATCCACCTTGGCTTGCCAGAGTGCTAGGATTACAGGCATGAGCCACCATGGCTGGCCCATCTTTCAAATTTCTGTGAGAGGACCAGCCCATTACAGCTATCCCTTTTCTCCAAATTGACGACTTAAGTAAGGTGATCACAAAACCCAAACAAAAAGGCTAAGAGATCAGGGAGATGGTGAGAGAGCATCAGACCACCCCACTTTACCTTTGAAATGTGGTATAAAAGACACGGTCAGGCCCGGCCTGGACGCCTCTTCTCGGAAGGTGGGGGCAAAGGTGCGAAGGGTCACGGAGACGTTCTGCTTCACCTGGATCTGCTCGATCGAGCCTCCAGGGCAGAAGAAGCCGAAGTACAGCTCCTGGCTGGGGCTGGCGCTGGCACTGGCCACGAGGTAGCTGAAGCTGGTGTTGCAGGGCCTCTCGTGGGTGTGCTGCTGCAGCTTCTGGGCTGGCACCAGCATCAGGCTGAGCCTGTCCTTGGGCACCAGCACCTTCCAGGAGAAGTCGTGCAGCTCCACGGGCAGCAGGAGGATGTCTCTGGGCACCAGGAGCGGGTAGGATCTCCTGTGGCAGTACCTGTGGTCTGTGCAGCCTGCAAGAGAGAAGCTGCTGGTAGTCACATGTGCAGAAACGTGCCTGCCCGCTCACCTGAGGCTGGACATCGGCCAGCGCCCTGCCTGTCCCTCTGCCCCACGCTCCCCTCACTTGTGCTCCTCCGTGAGCTTTTCCCAGCTTTCCCTTCTGCTCTCTCTGCCAAGTGGGCAGACACACTTGTGGGGCGCACTTAGGGGTGAAGTTTTCTCTCCTTTTTGGTCAAGTCTCTTCTTCTGTGACTCTGTGTCTCAGATGCTAAGTGTCAGGGGGGCAGGGCACGGGTTTCACTCCCCCAGACATGCTGTCCAGTGTCCCCTCCTGTGGGAGCAGTTCTGTGCTGTAGTTGGAGCTGACGTTGTGTGTAATGTTGGGGCGATCCCAGTTCTCCTCTGGCTCTGCTGCATCCTAGGTGACACAGGCAGGCTACTTTGCCTGTTGTGGCCTCAGCTCCTGCGTGTGCAGAGACTCTGAGAGCACCATGCCAGCGCTCACAGTGGCCCAGCAGGGAGGTGACTATTGGCTTTGCTGCTCTCACCAAATATCTTTTTTTCTTTGAGACAGAGTCTCACTCTGTCGCCATGGGTAGAGTGCCGTGGCATCATTGCTCACAGCTACCTCAAACTCTTGGGCTCCAGTGATCCTCTTGCCTCAGTTTCCCAAGTAGCTGGGACTATGCCACCACAACACCCAGATGTTTTTTAGAGACAAGGTCTCTCTTTTGCTCAGGCTGGTCTTGAACTCTCAAGCTCAAGCAGTCCACCTGCCTCAGCCTCCCAGAGTGCTAGGATTATAGGTGTGAGCTCCCGGGCCCGGCCATCACCAAACATTTTTAAAGTGTCCAACACTACTAGGGGTTCAATGGATAAAAAACTCCCCAACTAAGCTAAAGTTCTTGACCTCAAGGTGCTCAGCCTCCTCTGAGAGAAGAGGGCAGTGAATGTGGAAGAGGGGGACATGGGGATAGGCGGGTTTGGAGAAGGAGGAACAAAGGGGGAGAGATTTCCCAAGACAGAGACAGGAAGGCTGGGCAGTCAGGCATGTGCCTGGGCACTGGGCAGCAAAACGCCCTTCTTGTGAGGGCCATGCGTTCTACCTAAGGCTGGCCTTAAAGAGGGAACATTGATACTCGCTGTGTTTGCCACCTGTCTGCCTGGCTCACAGGCCCTGGGGTGGGCACTTTGGATCACAGGATTTATGCCCCACCCAGGGACAAGACAAGGCAGGGAGGAAGACCTGTCCACGGCCCAGGGCAGATGCGCTAATTAAGGGGCGTACTTATGTTTTTTTCCACATTCATCCACAGACGTGTCAGATCATCACAAAGGAAGGAAATCGTATGTTTGGAGCCAGATGTCAGGGTGAGGTTGACGCTGCAGGTTCGAGACTCGAGACACACGAAGCAGCCGCGGACAAACTTGCGGCTCAGTTTGACGGGCCGTGGCTCGATGGTGAGGGACATGGCTCGCTCATTACTCAAGTCCACCACATAGAGTTTATCTAAAACCACAAACAGAAAACAGGCGTGAGGTGTGGATCAGCAGCTACCAGGTGAAATGGCAAAAATTAGTAGACAATCTCTCCTGAGGAAGAAAATGGGACATCATTATCACAGCTGGGGAGTGTGGCAAACATGTTTTTTTATGATTAAGGCAATATTACAATAACTTTGAAAGAAAGTTAAAAAGGGGAACAATGGACTTCACCATAATAAAAACAAAAGGAATACAGTTATAAAGATGGAATAAATACAAATCACGAAAGCAAAAAAAAAAAAAAAAAAAGGAAAAAGATTAAAGTATCTGTCTGGCAACAGACACCACAAATCACATTAAAGGACACACCTGGAGGATGTGTCCCAATAAAGAATGACTGGGCAGTTCATGGAAAAGATATCAATGCCCAAATCTGCAAAATAAGAAAAATTCCTATCACTTGTAATCAGAGAAAAATAAATCGTCTCCCCCTGCTCAGACCGGGAGAACTATAAGTGTCTGTAATGCTAAACGCCAGGGCTGTTGCAGGAGACAGGTGCTCCCCAGGAGGCTGCTGGGAGCCTGGCACCTGAACATGGGAATTAGTATCAGAATGAAACTTTGCCCCCCAGGAAACCCAGCTGTGCCAGGGGGCCACAGGTGCCCACATTACACTGCAGTATTGTGATTGTGGAAAACTAAAACCCATCTGACACTGGAATAGATCAATAAATTCTGGGATATTAGGGAAGGGAATATCATGCAGCAGATAAAAAGGATGAGGGAACTCTGAAAGGCATACTGAGCTGAAAACCACCCAGACATAGTGATGAGCAGAACGGCCAACTACAGATGACGTGTGCAGCACCATACCGTACAGGTGGTAAAATCTCTGCAGGACAAAAGAGCTATTTGTATGTATTTATTAATGCAGATGAAGAAAAAGATTTAGAGAGAAACACAAGAAATCCGCGATTGAAGTTACCCCTGGAGAGAGGCCTGAAAGTGCAGACAGCACAGGTGGTCAAGGAGGATATTAGCTCTGTCTGTAATAGTTGAATTTTTTAATAAGAAAGTGTAGTAGAACCTTTGTTAGGTTGACCACCCAAGGAACTATAACAAGCTGGTCAACATAAGGCGGTGGTCAAAATGAGGAACTAGGGGCTTGGCGTCTGTGGCTCAAGTGGCTAAGGAGTCAGCCACATACACCTAAGATGGTGGGTTCGAATCCAGCCCGGCCCGCCAAACAACAATGACGGCTGCAACCAAAAAATAGCCAGGTGTTGTGGCGGGCACCTGTGGTCCCAGCTACTTGGGAGGCGGAGGCAGGAGACTCGCTTGAGCCCTGGAGTTGGAGGTTGCTGTGAGTTGTGGCACTCTACCCAAGGGGGACCGCTTGAGGTTCCGTCTCAAAAAAAATAAAATAAAATAAGGAACTAGGCCTGCTGTACTGATACATACATGCGGTTCATGTCTGGTCTGTGAAAATTAGGTCAACTTAAGGAGGTGGTCAGCTATAGAGGTGCTACTGTCTTTACCTATTTCTTGTGTCTTTTGGAAAAACTGTCTGATTGATAGTCCTACATCCAACTTCTTACTGTGCTACAAAGCTCACCTCTGTTGTTTCCTCCAGGACCCTGCTGCAAACACCCTGGCTATGCCAGGAGCCCTCTGCTTCTGTGGGCATGGGTCCCTTTTATCAAGGTCCGCCACATGCTATAGCAGTCTCCCCTCACTCTCCCCTCACCTGTGAGTTACCAAGGCCATGCATGCACAGACAGGCTGTGCCTCCGTTATAGACACCTGACTTATATACAACTCACACTTACGGACTGAAGCTATTATAGGTAATTCCCTGAGTTATAAACATCTGACTTATGTGCAACTTACACTTATGAACAGAGGCTATTGTGGGTAATAGGTAAATGTACCTGTTTTAACTGACGTACTTAGGAACAAACCTGGGGACGCTATCTTGTTCATAACCCTGGGACTTCTGGTTACCGCCTCTGCACTGCAGATGTTTGAGGGGATAATTCCCTGCTGTCCTGTGCACTGTGGGATATTTAACAGCAACTGTGGCCTCTGCCCATTAGTTGCCAGTAGCAACCGCCTCCCCCACTGGATTTGATTAAGAGGACCAAAAATGTCTCCTAGACCTTGTTAAATGTCCCCTGGGGGTAGGAGGCAAAATTGCTCCTGGTTGAGAACCACCGGTTTAAAGAATGCAGCAGTTTTAGAAGGTTTATTATGAAAACGAAACTCTCTCCCCTCCTTTCCACCACACCCCAGAACAATTTTCAACTCTTTTAGCTGGTTTTTCAAGTTACCTCCGTGTCACTCAGTGACACACTCCTTTTGCTCTCTGTCCCTTACTCTTTCATTACCAGGCACTATCTGTTGGTTTCTCACTAAGGAAGACGTGGACCTTCGTCTCCTTCACACCACACCCACCCACCCCGCACAGCACGCATGCTCAGAAGCAGCCCACTCACTTCTGCTCACATTGCACTGGCCAAAGCAAACTCACATGGTCAATGCTGCAGCCAGTTGGGTAGCAAGTCTAATCCTCGCCTGTCAGGAGGAGTGGTGAGTATTTTAGAACAAAAAATGCTATCTGGCAAAGTAGGTATTATCACCCCTATTTTATGGACAGAGAAACTAAGGCTAGGGAGTAGTGAGACTGAGAAGTGAAGCCCACATCTTCCTGATTACAAAGCCTGGTCTGTTTCTATGACACTTACTGCCTCCTTTCACCCGGCTTCCACTTCTCTAGCCTGGTAGCTGCATGGAGGAGACAAAAAATTGTGTGACACCCGGGACTGGCTTCACACAGCTTGCTTATGGATGACACACCCATGGAAGAAACCTGCCAACTGCCATCTGGTTTCCAGATGCACGTCAAGTTGTTCCCTGACTTGCTTTAGAAGCGTGCCAAATTTGGTCATGCTTGGTTTAGTTCAAAAATTCATTAAATATTTACAGAGGGCCTGTTTTTACATCTGACACTATACTCCCACGTTAATATACAACAATAAAATGACCTTAAGTTTGAGAAGTTCACTATTTAAAGTTATTTAAGGTAATAATGTTTTTCATAAAATACAAATTTGAAGCTCAGGTTAAATAACTTGCCCAAAGTCCCACAGCTAGCTAGTCAGTGGGACCTAAAGCAGTCTCTAACACTGGAACATCTACGCTTAACCTTTTGATACATTTTGCCCTGATTGTTTTTGATGAATAATTTATGCATAATAAAATCTACAGATCTTCAGTGTTCAGTGTGCTGAGTTTGGGGCAACTTTATATATCTATTGTATATACAGCAAGATATAGAACATTCCTACTGTACCAGAAGTTTCTTTGTGCCTTTTCCCACTCAATACCCCTGATGTTCTGTCCCCCTAAAAGGCAACCACTTTCTGATTTTCTATCACCACACACTTTGGCTGTTCTGGAACGTCATATATAATGGAACCATGCAGTAGGTAGTCTTCTGTTTCTGGCTTCTTTTCTCAGCAAAATGGTTTTTTTTGAGACAGAGCCTCAAGCTATCTCCCTGGATAGAGTGCTGTCGCATCACAGCTCACAGCAACCTCCAACTCCTGGGCTCAAGCGAATTTCCTGCCTCCACTTCCCAAATAGCTGGGACCACAGGTGCCCGCCACAACACCTATTTTTTGGTTGTAGCCCTCATTGTTGTTTGGCGGGCCCAGGCTAGATTTGAACCCGCCACCTTAGGTGTATGTGGCTGGTACCTTAGCCACTTAAGCCACAGGTGCTGAGCCAGCAAAATGTTTTTAGGACGCATCCATGTTGTTGATGTCAGTTGGTTTTTTCCTGGTTATTGCAGGGTAGTATCCCCAAAGTGAACATACCACGTTTATTCATTCTTCTCTTGGTGATTTAGGTTGTTTTATTTTTTATGACTTAAGTTCAACTTTAACATCCTTTTATCAGTCTTTGAGTGGATATATAGTTTCTTTTCTCTTGGATAAATACCTAGGTGGGTCACAGGTAAGTGCTACAGTTTGATGGTTGGTTTATCCCCACCCAAACTCACGTTGAGACTTGTACCTCAAGGGGGCAGTGTTGGGCGGTGGTGCCTTGTACAGGTGATTAGGTTAAGATGGATTAATCACTTTCTTACAAGACAGGGTTGGTTTTTGTTTGAATGGAACAGTTTCCAGTGAGGGTGCCCCTCCTGTTTGGTGTTTTTTGCACATGCCCGCTTTCCCTTCTGCTTCTCTGCCCTGCGATGCTGCAAGAGTCTCTCACCAGAAGCTGGCACATGCTGGTGCCATGCTTCTCGGACTTTCCAGCCACCAGAATCGTGGCCAATTAAACTTCTTCTTTTGATAAATTACCCAGTCTTAAGTATTCTATTATGGCAACCCTAAATGAACTAAGACAATAGGTGTAAGTTTAAGTTTATAAGAAACTGCCAGACAGTTCTCCTAAGTGGCTGCACTGCCTCACACCCCCACTAGCAGTGTCTAATGGCTCTGTTGCTCTACAGTCTCACCATCTTTTGATATTGCCAATCTTATTTTCTCCATTCTAGTAGATATGAAATGATAGTGCAGCTTTACAGTTTGTATTTCTTTTGAAAGTTATTGTACAATAATCAAGGGGACTGTGAGGATACACCCAGTGGTGAAGCCAAAACAAGGGAGTAGTTTATTAGGAAAACGATCTTGGAATTAAGAAAGACCATGCATTATAGGGAGTGTCAGGAGGCCCCTCGCTCTCCATGTAACATACTTCTCCACTTTCTATTTTGCCCTTGCATTCCATTCATTAGTTATTTTACATCCTCTCTTTTCACACTTCTTTTGGTTGGATCTCAAAATACCTTGAGGGAGAGCCACAGTAAATTGACCTGCTGCCTGAGGAATATTTTCACATGTGGCTTCTGTAGGCAAAGCAGAGTACAAATGTGTAGTCCTCACCTCTCACAGATGGGGTGTTGTAAATGGCAAGATCCCCTATGAATATTTGCAAATCTATGGAAAGACAGGACAGCTTTTTACTCAGTGTCTTCCATGAGCCTTGACAAGTTGCCATACTCCATCCTCGTGATGGGCAGGAGAGCAGGGGTGGCAATCACTATTTACAGCTGAGAAGGGGAGGCCACAGGGAGGTGTGAACTGAATGCTTAAGGTTAGTCTATTAATAAAGGGACAGATGTGTGATTTGGACACAGTTTCTTGCCTTGAAAGAACCACATATTCTTTTTCTAAAACAGCAGATGGCTTTTTCTAAAACAGCAGAAAACATTGGCACCTAAAGTTTAAAAAGAGCCCTCCTACTGGCTGGATATAGTGGCTCATGCCTGTAATCCCAGCACTCTGGGAGGCTGAGGTGGGAGGATTGCTTGAGCTCAGGAGTTCAAGACCAGTCTGGACAAGAGCGAGATCCCGTTTCTACAAAAAGCACAAAATTAGCCTGCTGTGGTGGCACACATCTGCTGTCCCAGCTATTCAGGCGGACTGCTTGAGCTCAGGAGTTTGAGGTTGCAGTGAACTGTGATGATGCCACGGTACTCTAGCCTAGGGCGACCTCAAAAAAAAAAAGCTCTCTTCCCTCCCCCAAAAGAAAACTCCTCACTATTTGATAGTTACTGACATTATTTTAAAAGCCACACTGGGGACCTTTGAAGAGATTAGGTTACTGACTGACATTCCATAAAGGCCCCTAATCATTTTTGTGGTTTCTAGAGAAGATTTCTTACTTTAAAATGAAAATGGGCACCATGGGAGTAAGTCCAAGAACACACTATGCATCAACTCTGCAGGAAAAATTTAAAATTCACAGAACACAAGTTACTCAACACAAAACAAAAACAAACCCTACAATTCATTAAAGGCTCCAGGTGGTTTCTAAGGGTTATAAAAGTTGAAAAAAAAGCAATGTCACTGCTTCCACAACCAGCATTTACCCTGAGTGGTTAACAGAAGCATTCAGTGTAACACACCAGAAAATTACATCCATCTACCTTATTTGAATCATGATCACCCAGAGACCCACGGGTTTTGAACTTTTTGGCAGTTAGGTTCAACTACTGCCTGTATTCAGAAAATTTTTTTGTTTGTTTGGTTTTTTCTGAGACAGTCTCACTTTGTCACCCTGAGTAGAGTGCTGTGGCGTCATCATAGCTCACAGCAACCTCAAACTCCTGGGCTCAAGCAATCCTCCTACCTCAGCATCCCAACTACAGAAGCCCACCACCATGCCTGGCTGATGTTTCTATTTTTCATGAAGACAAGGTCTCATTCTTGCTCAGGCTGGTCTCAAACTCTTGAGCTCAAGGTATCCTCCTGCCTTGACCTCCCCGAGTGCTAGGATTATAAGCATGAATCACAGCACCCAGCCCAGAAATTGATTTTTGTGTAGCTTGGGCCCATGGTGCGCAGGTCCTGCTGTGGAGATGAGACGTCTGTGTTGGTTGATGCCTCTGACAGCTCCTCTGTCAAGGCCCTGCTTTCTCTGGTAGCTGGGACAGCCACCTTCTTTAGCTTGAGAGGCCCTCCTGGCTCTGCATCTGCTCTTGTTTCTGATGTTCTTCCCTTGTCTGACCTCCCAAGTACCTACTCTCACAGGTACCCTCCTTCATCTTCCCATCCTTGGCCCTTCTTCATGTGGGCTGTGAGCTGGTATGGTGCACCTAGCTCTCGAGCCACTTTGGACAAGATGCCGCCTTCTGAGATTGGCAACAAGGATTTATGAAGGGACAGAAATGTGCCAGAAGCAGTGGTAGATAGATATAGGAAGAGGAATAAGACAAGGTTCCTTACTGGGAGGAGTATAGTGACACCAGATAGAGAAACACAACATAGTGCGTAAGGAATGCAAACCACTGTCGTGTCGGGGGGTAGTGGCTTTGGTCTGGGCAGTTGTCCCCTGCTGCTGGGATAAGGGAAGATGAGGTTAGGGTGAAGTCTGTGTTGGGTGTAGTGGGGGACCACAGGAGAATAAAGGGCAGAGGCTCTAATCCAAGGGACTCGGTCACCTTGAATGAAGCCCCTACCCCCCAGCTACCTTCTTACCTTCAGGGCCAGGACAGTAGAACTAGCATATAGAGTCCCTTCCTATGGCCATGAGAGGCACATGAAATCATCATGGATGGGGCCCCTGGCAGCTGAGGAGGTCTAGACTCTACCACAAGTCTTCCCTTGGTATCCCTCCAGCCTGAGGTACACTCACCTGCCACTGCACGCCATCGAAACTCTTTCCAGAGTGACTTACTGCATCCCATGAGGCATTTCTCTTCTGGGTCACAGTCTAGTCTCTGGGGATAAGTCCTGTGTCTCTTTCAATCCTATATCCCTTCCTGGACCATGATGATAGTCACATATACTCTCCACCTGCCAGGCACTGTGCTACCTCGTGTGTCCTCACAACATTCCTACGAGGGCAGTCCTGTTGCCTCTCTTTTATAGATGAGTAACTGAGTCACACAGAGGTTAAGTGACAGGGGAACTAGGACCCAAATCTGTGTGGGTCAGCCACCCTTAACCACTGGGCTGTGCTGCCTTCAGAGCAAGCTGCCCACAAACATTTCACCAGTGAAAGAGTATTGAGAATGGGCCAGACAGACGTGGTGGGTACATAGGGCTGGCTTTCTTGGCCAGTCCTTGAAATTTAGTCCACAGAGGGGTTCAAAGGATTAAGGTACAATTGCCTGGGAATTGCCACTCTCTGGCCAACCAACCCAACCTGGGTCTTTTATCCCCAAAGGTATTTCTGCCAGCCACGCCCACTCACATTTCCAGAAAAAGTATAAACTACACCTTAAAGGCCTTGACACTGCTAAACACTTCTCCATTGTAGTTAACCCCTCACAACTCATCTCAAAACTCAATCCGGGCCCTTTGTGATGCTGGTTCTAACAATTTGATTAGTTTTAAAAATCAACCCAGCCAATGTTACCGGAAACAGAATTGATCAGAGGTTCTGACGCAGCACGTCACCATGACTGAGATGATAAATCTGTCTTCTAAAACCTAAGCCCATTCCATTTCTAAATCCCCTCGTGGCTATTTCTGACATTCTGATTATGCAGTTGTGACAGGGGAATGATAAAACTGTCTCAGTGGACGTGTACATAAATTTATACACACACACATACGTGTATGTAACACATGGGCATGCCCAGGGCAGCAGCACTTGGGCAGTCCCCCAGAGCTTCCAAGGCTGCCACCTTGCAGATGTTTATCAGCCTTACAGAAATAAACAGCCCTTCCACACTCCCACTTCATTCTTCTGCCTGGCTCTGCCTACTTCCCACACCTAAACAATAGTAAAAACAGGAATAAGCAGCAGCTCTCCAGATAGAGCCGATCCTCAACATGTGTCAGCAACGTCCTGGTCCAAGACCACTTGTCACGACTCACTCCTTCTCAGGCTCCCATTCCCAGATGAGCAGCAGGAATAGCCACCGTGAATTCATTCTGTATTTTTTATCTCAAAATCCACATTAGTCCCATCAGGGCCAGAACTAGGACAAGGCAAGCCAGGAACTCAGGGAGCAAAATTTAAGGAGGTGCCCATTCTCAGGGGCTGGCAATACGCACAAAACCCTGAGAGGGATGCCTCCTTAAATTTTGCACCGTGGGCATTTCACCTCATGCCAGTCAGGGCCCCGACTCTCCTCCTTTAGCTAGGTTCATGGCATCTCAGGAAGGTTTATGGAGTGATGTCCAACCACATTCTCATACCTGGGGTTCAGTATGATCTGGAGCTCAGGCTCTGGGTTCTGAGCTTGCTCTGCTCCCGACAAGCTGTGTGATGTTATGCTAGTTCTATAACCTCTCTGAACCTTCTGATTTCTCATTAGTAGAGGAAGATAATTCCCACCTCCTCTGTAGGACTGCACAAAGTATTAGCTGAGATTGTGTAAGTGACCTGCTTAGCACAGGACCTGGTGTGCAGGATGTGTGCCCAGGGGGTGCTGAGTCAAACAACAGTGTTAGCTGCCACCATCACTGCTGATGGTGCTGGGGACATCCTGATTCACAATGCAGGGTCAAGACATAAGATCTTGACTTTTCAATGGCTTCATTAAAAATACCTTAGCACCCTGAATGCATGATTACGTGTCATTCTATTGTGCTGAAGTGGAACTACATGCCCAGTGTTCACCAATGAGCTGGTCTTACTGCCTAGCAACCCACTTCCTGAAACTTGTATAGGGTCCAGAGTCCAGGGGCTCCAGAAACCACAGAAGAGAAGTAGGAAAGGAACCACCCTAGGCGTATGACCAAGGAAACAAAGAGAGTGCTGCAGGAGGAGGGGGAGGGGAAGTGGGCCTCACTTACTGCTTTCATTTTGTGGATGTTGAACCAAAACTTGAAACCGCAGCCGGAGGATCCCTGGATTTTGGGCATCTTGGTCGCAGCCCTGCAGGGAGAGGTTGAAGTTCCCAGCCATGTTCCCAGGCTGCTTGTCCCCCAGCTTGAACACCTCGGGGTTGGTGGTGGAGCCGGGGATGTAGTACTCCACCCGCTCCTCCTTCCTCTCGCAGTTGGAGACGTTGAAGTTGAGGAAGGAGACGCTGGCCCGCAGGTGCGGGGGCACAACAAACTGCCAGGTCATGAGCTCGTCCTCAGGGAAGCCCTCTGGGTAGTTGGCAGACATCAGGGTGGCTGCGCCTTCGCCTTCAAACACAGATTCGATGATGCACAGTCCTGTTTGGAGTGGGACCCAGAGCAGAAAGGACAGAGGCGATTAGACCCTGTCCTGGCTGGCTGTGGTCGAGTGGAGGGGCTTTTAGGGCAATTATGATCTTGGTTTTCAGATCTTGCACCGTGGGATTCTGGATGTGGTAAGTTTACACTCAGGGTAGAGATTGGGCAGGAAGACACATCAGCACTATTCATGTAAATGTAATAACTGACCCCATGGGCGAAAGAGGCCCGAAGTTGCAGTGTCTGTCTACTTCCATGGTGGGTACAAGCACTCCCACTGGGGCTTATTTCCACGCCCAACACCGCTGAACACGGAGTTGGGCAGTAGGACGTTATTCTCCCACCACACAGACACAGGCACAAAGAACCCAAGAACACAGGGAAGAGTAAAATGTAGTAAAGTATTTAGGAAGTGGTAACTTTTGTGTATTTATTAGCTTTGTTTATAATTTATTTAGCTGTAAGTTTACATCTTTTTTTTTATAGCAGCTCTGCCAGCTCACAAAATTCCTGAGGACTTAACAGGCAACTCTTAGGAGCCACGGGACTGAGCTCTGAGCATCACTGATACACTTACAGAAAACGTGAGAGGGAGAAGACAGGACACAGAAATCAGAAATGGAGCAATTAAGGTGGGTCTGTAGAAACAATCCCTTGTTGCTTTTTGAAAACAAACACCACCAGCTAAAAGGACACACTGAGACCTTGTTTACTTACTAGACAGGAGGGGTTCACACTACGACTGAATGACCATGTCATTTACGGAAGACTGGAATCTTCCCTCAGAATATTTAGGTTGAATTATACAGAATTCCTGATATTTGGCTAGGTTTGATCTAGAACGATGGTTTTGTATGTTTCAACCTAATCAAGTGGGGATAGGGGTGTGCTCACGTTTTATGGACGAGCGGTTGGCGATGCTGAAGCCGGAGATATTTCTAGGGTGAAACCATGGTAGATGTAAGGCCATTTTCACCCCCTCTTGCATCTTGATGCGGGACACGGTGCCGTTGCTGCAGAAGGTTCCGATCCTGACCATGGTGGCATCGATGCGGCCGCTGATGGAGTGAGTGACTCCATCTGAGCAGCTCTCACCCGGCCCGATCTGCCTCAGGCGAGGAGCAGAAAACTGAAGCTCTAGGCCAATGCGCTTGTGAGCTCTGACGTCCCAGATGAAAGTTCTGTTGAGGGCGGGCAACACTGACGTTGGGGGCTGAAGCTGGACCTCCCCAAAAGGACATGGGCCTGACATGCAATCTGAAACACAGTCACAGAAGCAATTTTGACCACACACTGCTCTTTCTCAACCCCCTGTAGTTGACTCAGCCAAGATAGCTTTTACCAGATAGGTGCAGCCATGCCCCGGGTAAGGATACCTTGGAGGAACAAACCTAAGAGGTTTTGTAGGCCCACATTTCCAGGCCAAGGAGCAGTTGCAGTCTATAGCCCAGTGATTTTCTTTTTTGGTTAATATACAGTTTCACTTTGTCACCCTCAGTATAGTGCTGTGGCATCACAGCTCACGGTAACCTAAAACTTTTGAGCTCAAGTGATCCTCTTGCCTCAGCTTCCCCAATAGCTGGGACTACAGGTGCCCACCACAACAGCCCACCAGCTGTTTTTTTTTGAGACAGGGCCTCACTTTTGCTCAGGCTGGTTTTACAACTCCTGAGCTCAAACAATTCACCCTCCTCAGCCTCCCAGAGTGCTAGAATAATGGGCATGAGCCACCGTGCCTGGCCTAGCCCAGTGATTTTCAACCAGTGTGCCATGAGAGGATCTTAGGTATGCTGCAAAAATATTTAAAGATGATGCATTAAATTATTTTCAAAAGACGTTCAAAGCATAATAAGTATATTCTATTTTTAATTTTTTTTGGATCCACATAAGTTCAGTGTGCCACATAAGTTTAACTATAGGTTCAAGTGTGCCGTGAGATAAAAGATTGACCTCCTCTATGCAGGAGGAAAGATGCCTGGCCTCCTTGCTTCAGGTGACATGACCTGAGGACACCATTCACACTCCAGAGCTCCCTGCAGGATCAGGCTGAGCCAGACCTCAGTTAAAACCACATCTGTGCTCGGCCTTTTCCCTGCTCCACGCTACTTTCCTTACTTCTTTGGAGGGCACTCTCTTGATAAATGAATTAAAAATCCCTGCCTTAGGTGCTGCTTCTAGGGCAACCCAAAAGAAACAAATATTGTGCTTTCCAGATTAAGTTCCTGGAGTCCAGTTAATGGGTCTCTGACTGGGCCTCCCTGGAAGCCCGATGGATCTGTTGGCGACAGTCTCGGATATCCTACTTCCTCTACTCTGAGAGAGTCACGGTTTTACAACTTGCAGGCATACTGCCAAGATCTACCTTTTTTTTTTTTT